AGAAGCGGCTTTTGACTACTTTCCGTTCGGGTTAACAACAGTTTAACATTGACGTCATCTGAAAATCTAGCCACTTTTGTGGGTTTTTCTCGATTTAAAACCCCATTTCTGCACGGGATTTCCCCCGTGTGATAAAGTCCATTGCCTTGCCTTGCTGTCCAGGTGCTGTCTAATAGACATTCATTGTCTGGCCTTTCTGCTACTCTGTCCAAGGCAATGACCACACCATCTCTATGCTTTGGCCACACACACAATATGGCTCTGCAGTTCTGCAGGCATGACATATTACAACACTGTAGTGTGACAGTCCCTCATTCCTAGGGTTGTCCTAAGTTGTAAAGGCTGCCTGCATGGGCTCAAAACCCATGTTTTCCCTGGCCTCGCATCATCTTGTTTGGACAACACAGTCTAAAACCCCGGGACCAGGATTGGGCCAGATACTGGCAGACTGAATGTGGATCAGGCTGGATCTGGGGTAAACAGCCCTTAACATGGGTCAATTTGACCCCTGGTTCATTGCAGATTTTCCCGGAACCTCTGATAATCCCTGGCTGTTTAGACACCCAACATGTTTCTTAGCTTCCCCCTGCATCTCTGCTAGTGAGCAGACCCCCATTGCCACATCATGGGGTGTCTGGCTGCCCCCACATAGCCAGATGTCCCATTTTTCTGTGAAGTGGGGAGGTAAGGAGTGTGCGCTGATAGTGGGTCCCCGGTCCGGCCCGGGGACAGGTGTGTAAGCACCCACCCATATCCTCACTGGCCCAGGGCTAACTCAGGCTACCACCTGGGCCAGGAAAATATGGGCCAAGCCCATGCTTTCCTGGGCCATTTGTTCAGGGCCAAAATCAACTTGACTTCACATAATAAGAACAAAAATGTGGTGGCTAAACTGCTGTGTGGCGTATTTGTTTGGGTGTCGGACTAGGTCTCTGGAGACAAGGGTTCAAATCCCTCCTCAGCCATGGAAACCCAGTGGGTGACCTTGGGCAAGTTACACTCTCTCAGCTTTGAAGGAAGGCAATGGCAAATTTGTTCTGAAGAAATCTTACCAAAAAACCCAATGATAGGTTAGCCTTAGGGCCTCTGAATAGCCACTGGGAGCTCGTATAAGGAAATGTCCCTTCATAAGACTGTTGAGACTTCTGTGATATATACATGCATCATCTAAAAGCAAACTTTTTTTTCTCTGTAGAAGTGTTGGTGCAATTATGTTAAAATTGATATGCATATTAATCATCTAATTGATTAGATACAATTACATTGACTAACATTTCTTCAATTGGCTGATAGCTCTGTTTATTCTAACTATTTCCAACCACTGTTTGTGTTTAGTTAATAATGGTTTTGTTCTTTTTACTCTTCAATAAATATACTTAATTGAAAGAACTGAGCAAGATGGCAGGTTTGTTTTATTATGGCTTTATTTTTTTATTGCCATGGCTATGTTTTGATCTCTTGTGACATGCTGTGAATTTTCTTTCCTTTTTTTACATTGAATTGGATCCAGTCGTAGCTGAAAAGACTTGTTTTTCCCCCTTCACTTCCACAGTTTTTGAATGTCAACTGCTGAATTTAAATACTAAATTCAAATACTTTTTACCCTTTTCTCAAAAGGTTAAAGTCAATGTTTTCTATTACTGCTTCCTTACAGAGCTGTCTTACACTTTGAAAACAACACCACCTAACTAAACTAAATTCCAAAAGACAAAGTAAAACATTCCCAGAAAAAATCAGTCCAGGTTTTCTCCCAGGAAAATTAACTTACCACATAAGCAAGCATCCACATCCACTCCTCCACAAATTGTTTTATGTTAACAAGCAAGCTTGAACTTTCTAAATGAACAAAGCTTTTCATTGCTTCCCAGGCACTAGAAAAAGAGAATAATAGAATCAGAGAGCTGGAAGAGACCACAAGTGCCATCCAGTCCAACCCTTTGCTGCAGGAATATGGTATCAAAACCCTCCTGACAGATGGTCATCCAGTCTCTGTTTAAAAACATCCGCAGAAGGAGACTACTCTCTGAGGCAGCATATTCTACTGGTGAACAGTTCTTACTATCAGGAGGTTCTTCCTAATGTTGAGATGGAATTTTTTCCCTGTAGTTTGAGTCCATTGCTCCATGTCCTATTTTCTGGCACAGCACAAAACAAGCTTGCTCCATCCTCAGTATGACATCCCTTCAAATATTTAAACATGGCTATCATATCACCTCTTAACCTTCTCTTCTCCAGGCGATCCATAAATTCCCTATGCTGCTCCTTTTAGAGGTTGGTGGTTTCCAGACCTTTCACCATTTTGGTCACCCCTCTCTGGACACGCTTCAGCTTATCAACATCCTTTTTGAACTGTGATTCCGAGAATGGGACATAGTATTCCAAGTGAGGCCTGACCAAAGCAGAATA